TGATTCCTGCTTGGTGGTCGAGGGTTCGATTCCTCGCACGCTGCAAACATTTGTATTCATGAGTATGATTGTTTGTAACGGTCTGGGTGTTTTCTATGTATAGATAATATATATGTATTTACGAAAAAAAATCTTTGTATTTATATCAGTTGTCTAGTACCCATAACATAATCTTCAGCTAGCTTAACTTGGGTCTAGATGAAGCTGTGTGAATTGTCCTGAGATTACTATTATTACTATAATAAATCTTTTCAAATCAGCCGATGTTTATTTTTGCCATAATACGTGCTGTTACCATGTGATAATATTACGTACGTACTTATTAAACTGTTAACTTATTATTAAATTGTTTGTAACGGTCTGGGTGTTTTCTATGTATAGATAATATATATGTATTTACGAAAAAAATCTTTGTATTTATATCAGTACCCATAACATAATCTTCAGTTAGCTTAACTTGGGTCTAGATGAAGCTGTATGAATTGTCCTGAGATTACTATTATTATTAATTGGTACACAGGTAAACTACTAACTAGGTCATATTGGTGTTGTTTGTTATGGTGAAAAAACTAGTAGGTATATATATAAGTTACACGTACAATTTCAAAGACTTATTTCTTGAAAACTACTGGCTATTCTGAAATAAAACTTTAGTGTTTGTATATGTAATGTTTGCATATAAAATATGATTAAAGGTTACCAGTGTATTTACACTTTTACTGAACAAACAGAGTTGTTTAATACTGAAAATATTGTGTGGAAGGCATCAATTACTTTCAGTGCATGTATAGCTTTTCTCTTTTCCTAATTATTATTATTATTAAGTTTAAAGTGGTTGAATTTTACGTAAGGGGTTTTTATACATTATTTCTAATTTACCATTTATTTTAAGTTTTTTAAACTCTATTCATCGAGACCTATCTAATGAGTCCAAACACGATATTTCTGCTGTAAGTTTTCGAAGAGTATGTTCATCATCTGATAATACTGGTGCCAGCATGAAGTCAAGGTTAACAGATAACTAATTACTTTTATTTCGTCAAAATCTTTAGATTACGTATAATAAATTCATAATATCGCTACCTATTCAAATCAAAACAAGTTAATACTTGTTTTGAATTTATATACTAGTACATGAAGTACCTAATGGTACTTCATGTACTAGTATATAAATTCATCAACACACAAGTAAATGATTTTTAAATATATTCAGAGCCAAAAAATCTTTGTGCATTTAAAAAAAATGCCGATACGGATTCACTATTGCAGGAAATTGTTGAAAAAATATATATCGAGTATAAGTATCTACTACTATCGACGAATACATTTGGCAACAACGCATGGTCTCGGCCGGAACGGCAACATCGCATATTAGAATACAAAGATAGTGATAGAAAGAGAGAGACAGTGGATCAGCAATATCTACGGATCGTGGCTGGATCAACTAAGTGTGCAAGTGTATATAATATATATATATATATATATATATATACATTTGTCTTTAATTCAAAGGAAATATAAATAATGAACGCATCACATTTAAAACAGTATAAATAGTTAATAATTTAATAATAAGTTAATAGTTTAATAAGTACGTACGTAATATTATCACATGGTAACAGCACGTATTATGGCAAAAATAAACATCGGCTGATTTGAAAAGATTTATTATAGTAATAATAGTAATCTCAGGACAATTCACACAGCTTCATCTAGACCCAAGTTAAGCTAGCTGAAGATTATGTTATGGGTACTAGACAACTGATATAAATACAAAGATTTTTTTTCGTAAATACATATATATTATCTATACATAGAAAACACCCAGACCGTTACAAACAATCATACTCATGAATACAAATGTTTGCAGCGTGCGAGGAATCGAACCCTCGACCACCAAGCAGGAATCAAAGCAGTGTGCTAGCTAAATCGCTAGACTACCGACAACTAGCTGTACACGCGACTTCGTCCGCGTGGAATTTAACTTCTTATATTTTAGAAAAATAAAGTTAAATTCAACACGGACGAAATCCCGTGTACAGCTAGTCATCAATAAAAAAACACGTAGGTATCTCTAATATATTATACACTAGCTGTTCCCGCGACTTCGTCCACGTGGTTTTTAACTTTATTTTTCTAAAATAAAAGTAGCCTAAGTTACTCCTTATTACATCAGCTACCTGCCAAAAAAAGTCCCGTCAAAATCAGTCCAGCCATTTCAGAGATTAGCCGGAACAAACAGACAGACAGACAAAAATTGTAAAATATGTTATTTTGGTGTATGTACCGTATTTATATTCATATGCAAGTAGTAAAAAACGGTTATTTCAATATTACAAACAACAGGCTTCAACATTCTCAAGTACCACAAAAAAGATGTTTTTATTAAAAACAAGGTGTTCCCGCGACTTCGTCCGCGTGGAATTTAACTTTATTTTTCTAAAATAAAAGTAACCTAAGTTACTCCTTATAAATCAGCTACCTGCCAAAAAAAAGTACCGTCAAAATCGGTCCAGCCATTTCAGAGATTAGCCGGAACAAACAGACCGACAGACAGACAGACTAAAATTATAAAAATAGTTATTTTGGTATATGTACCTTATATATATTCATATGCATGTAGTAAACATTACAGTAAAATTTTGTCAATAACATAATAGCAACTTAAACATTAAATCTCGGTATATCTATAGACTAGCTGGCCCCAGCGACGTCGTCCGCGTGAAATTTTATTTTATTTTTCTAAAATAACAGTAGCGTAAGTTACTCCTTATTACATCAGCTACTTGCCAAAAAAAGTCCCGTCAAAATCGGTCCAGCTATTTCAGAGATTAGCCGGAACAAACCGTCATGGGAGTCATGACGCCCCCATGACTCCCATGACCTCCATGACGCTCCCCCCTGGATCCGCCGTTGCGTCTTCTCTTTATTCGCTCAGTAACGTTGTTACAAAAGAAAAGATTCCCGTCCAAAAAATAACAAGTATTGAGGTTTGATCTGGAGTCACGTTACTCCAGACTGATTTCTATAAATATTTAGATTAGATAGACTATTATTCTTGAAATACTAGCTAGACATTATTAAGTTACTGTAGCCATAATGTAGTAGCCCAAACGTGCCAATGAGGAAGCCCTTGGCAAATGCTGCACCCTGATTGGCCCGTTTGAATTGGATCAAGAAGTGCTCGTATGCCAAAAAGGTGGATTTGTATAAAATCGTGTATAAATCACTTAATTATTATTATTACTCGTCGTGACAGTTGTGGCTCAAAACGGAGCAACATTTACATATGGTCATCTGGCATTAGATCAACAAAAGGCCTCCGGATCAACAAGTGAAAAAGGATCAACAAAAAACTACCTATACGGCACGTCTGAGCCACAAAGTGCCCAAGGGGATATTTATATATATATATATATATATATATATGTGGGTATTTTTCAGTATTCGCACTATCTCTATACAGACCTTGGGTCTCGTGTAATCCAAAAGCGCGCTAGCAATACTTTTAATCGAAATTTTGTTATAAATATTTACGGTCTGCTCCTCTAGGTTCTTCTATTATTACATTTTAAATTTAAAAGTTTTATTTTTTCGTTATTCTGAAAATTTACTACATTTCCAACATCTTGCACATTTCCTTTAATTTTTATTCTGTCTAAGACTTTCCATGCGAATAAGCTCAAGATAGGTCGTTTTTTTTGGTGAAAATCAAGATTTTTAGTTACGTATAATTTTTTTGATCGTAATGTAATAGCGTTTCAACTTTCAATATATATATATATATACTAGCTGTCCTGGCAACTACCCCTAACATTTAGGGGGATGAAAAATAGATGTTGGCCGATTCTCAGACCTACTCAATACGCTCACAAAATTTCATGAGAATCGGTCAAGCCGTTTCGGAGGAGTATGGGAACGAAAACTGTGACACGAGAATTTTATATATAAGATATATATATATGATACAAATGTATAGACAAAGTTTATACTCTTTCATGCGAGGCAAGATTACCAAAGCAATAAACTTTCAAACAGTATATGTTTTCTACACACAAAAGCTTTCAATCTTCGTAATGTCAGCGACGAATACACAATGAAGCCGTAATAAATACCGATTACTGTCCGAAAACCGAAATTGGTCAAAGAATACGAGTTAACGGTAAATCTTGAGGGTTGTTGTTTGTTAAGTTTGTGTGGAATTCGAGAGAAGATTGATGCTTTAATAAAATTAAAGGTAAGGTAATAAGCGGAGTTTGGTCTTAATGTATGTACAGACTATCTGTCTTACCTATTTCAGTTACCAAGCAATTTGCTGGGAGTTTTTCGTATATATTCACCTAATCTTTACCTTATGTGACATTAGAATATATTTTTATAGCATAGGGGACAAATAAGCTTGGGGCTCAGTTGATGGTAAGTGATTACCGCCGCGCATAAGTACCCGCAATACTAGAGGAATTGCAAGTTCGTTGCTGATATTTTAAGAAGGAATAAGCTCTTTTCTTGAGGTTACAATAGTATCGGTTCGGAAATACCATTGCTGGGAGTTGATTCCACAATATGTTTGTGCGTGGCAAAAAGATTCTATAAAACCGGTGAACAGGTGGTGAACCTATAAGCACGGTGGAAGACCGCCATTCATCTAGATGATCAGGATGGTACTTTAGTTTCTGGTAATATTCCATGCAATTCCTCAGAATACTCGTGTAGAAATAAATGCACAGAGAAGAAATGTCTCGCCGCAAAGTCAACGGGTCGAGTCTGTCACAAAGACGTTGATTACCAATAATTCTGGCTGCTCCATTCTGAATGCGGTGAAATGGAAGTAACAGTTTAACAGTGAAATTCTCAAATCAAACATAGAATCTCAAATACGTGCACTGCTTCCAGAGTTTATCTTCCTCCCAACAAAATCTGCTCTCCTCTATATTATTAATACAGAAGGTAGAGGTTGAAACTATTTCTAATTCGAATTTTTAATTAATACGAAGACTCACCCGATGCGATGTGGCTAAATGTGCTAAATGATGAGCGGGCGTGGGTCGTTCATCACTGGACTCATCACCGGATCGCTCGCCGGTGAACACCGAGTCATGTGACACCGACAGACCGCTGCTATACACTCCCTCTCTGTAACAACAAGCGTGATATATGAATTTAGAATGAACATAGCAAATAAGTAGTAAAACAACAAGACCGACATTTAATTATACTTTTTATTGCGCTAAATACAGAAAATAATTATAATAATAACAAACTCAGGACAATTCACACAGCGCCGTCCAGACCCATGTTAAGCTAGCTATAGCAAGCTATATACACAAGTGTTTTGGGTACTAGGTATAACTGACAAGTACATAGATATATATTTATAGTGGTAAATACATACATATTATACATAGGAAACACCCAGACCAATACAAACAATCATACTCATGAATACAAATGTTTGTGCCGTGCGAGGAATTGAACCCGCGACCATCGTGATAATTAAAAAAAATGTATAGCAAACACGTGACAAATTAAAAAAAAAAAAACACCACAATTAGGCCTGGTCAATTTCAGCATGAATTTACAATCAATGTGTGGCCAGGATTATTGAATGACCAATTAATTGGCCTTGTTATCTTAATGGACACCTTAAACTGAGAGAGATTTTTGGCACTCCTAGAAAACGTATATTTAAAAGAGAAGCTCCCCTGAAACTGCACAGGACAGTGTCGGAATAGCGTAGAGGGTTGTAGCGTATGGGTATGAATTCTCTGTCGATGGCGAGCGGTGCTATGGTAAAAGGTAGGCATCATGTCGAACAATTCCTCAGGATATATGGGAGCTGGTGGTGCCCATGGTAATCTACAGGTGCACTTGTCGCAGATACCGCTGTGGGACGAAGAACAACGGTTCAAGAAGGAGTATACTAACTTTCTCCTAGCATGTCTCTCAGCATCTAGCAGCTCGCTGGTGGAGCTACTCTTGGGGTCGGGTGAGGCATCCGTGCGAGTTCCACTTCCGCGCCGCTTGAACATGCGCCGGAGGCCGCGTAAGAACCTCCCAGTGCGGCCTTCGCCTGGAATTTAAAGATCGAAGTGTTTATAAAAAAACTAACTGACCCGGCAAACGATGTTTTGCCATATAAATTAATATCGCTAATAAAACAAATGTGTATATTAATAATAAAAACCCAAAATTTGAACCCCTCTTGGTAGAAGGTCTTGCTCTACGATCTTGGGGTAGTTGGTATCTACCCCTAGATCGTAGAAGGGTTCAAATTTTGGATTGTGTGCATTTTTTAATGCCAATTCATACAAAAGTTGAAATTAATCATTTTGACCTAAACATAAAAAAAAAATTTGGGAAGGAGCAAAAGTTTTTTTTAATATTTAGGTTTTTATATTCGATAAACTATAAGAAACAAAAATACCGAACTCATACCGAGTTAACCTTATAAAATAGACATGTGTCCTGAACTTTTTTTTAGAACTTTTAAAGAAGAACATTTCCGTTGTACATATTTTTTGCGTAACTTTATGTAACCGTTTATGCAGTGAAAGAATGGGAAGCACTCAAAATTAATATTTTTTGCCACTTAGCATCGTTCATTGCTGTTTCGCTCCTGTTGGATGTGGCGTGATGTTATATAGTCTATATGACTCGGAGCCTAGATAACCTAAAAGTTAAATAATTTTTAATCGTATCAGCAGACCCGAAGATTACCTCAAACAAACAAATAAACTTTATCTCTTTATAATATTATCATCACCATCATCATTTCAGCCCGGAAGTCCCTTCCCCAAAAATCTCCAGCTTTACAGCCCCAACGGCCACTTGTCCTACAAGCTAAGTGCCCTGCCCATTGCCACTTCACTTTCGCAATTCCTCGGGCTGTGTCGGTCGCTCTAGTTCTTCAGCGGATCTCTTCATCTCTGATACGCTCACTCCAAGCACTCCAAGCATAGCCCTCTAGGGACTCTGAGTTTATTTATGATGCCCATAGTTAACGACCACGTTATAAGTATAGAAAAAAAACTGACCATGGTGGTGTGTGTCGGTGTGCGGCGGTCTGTAGGGCGGCTCGAGCGAGCCTTCGCGTACACACGACATGAGGCCCGCGCCGCCCCCGCCCCCGCCGCCCGACATCCGCCACGCCTGCAAACAGACGAACAAACACTCGTTAAATTATGCAAAATATATCTTGTGTCAATATTTTATTAAATTTATGTCTGTCATTTTATTTATACAGAAATAAAAAATATATACTACGACAACTGGAAACCTTAAAAAGTATAATATAATAACTATAGTACATTATTAAAAGGAGAAGGCAAGGTTCCGAAGATACTGGCAGAGTTCCCCCTTTGAATAGCTAGACTAATTCTTTGTCCGAGGTAGCTGCCAGCTCTTCTGTATGGAATTTATAGCCTATATAATTCCGATGTCTAAGTTATATTACTGTAGTTTTGTCAAATTTCGTTCAGTAGTTTTTGCGTGAAAGAGTAACAAACATCCATCCATCTCCTCGACGACCTCGGTGGTCTAGCGGTCCAGCACACCGCTTTACGTCCGATGGTCGCGGGTTCGATTCCTCGCACGGCACAAACATTTGTATTCATGAGTATGATTGTTTGTATCGGTCTGGGTGTTTTCTAAGTATAATATGTATGTATTTACGAAAAAAAAAATTATCTATGTATTTGTATCAGTTATCTAGTGCCGGTAACACAAGCTTTAGATAGCTTAACTTGGGACTAGATGGCGCTGTGTGAATTGTCCTGAGATTATTATTATTATCCATCTATCCTTCCATACAGACAAACTTTCGCGTTTATAATACTATATAAGTAGGATCATGTAGGAACTTGACAGCATTGTCTCCGCGGTACTCATTCTTAATGGACATTACTCCTATCCAGTGGGATTTCTCAAAACCCCTGCCCTAATGGATGCCTACATCACACGGGAACTTCTGTCTAAAATTTACAAGTAATGGTCTGTAGACGTATAAAATAAAAGACAATTCTCTTTAGTATACACACTACAGCTCTATACCATAAATTTCCATTCTGTGGAATATTAAAAAGAGATATATGTAGCTAAATAGCTATGTATTATATATTAGAGCTTGACATTTTACATATGTATATCAAATCTTGATAAAACGTTTATGGGACCAGATGAGAAGCATCAGCTTTCAAATAAAAAAGAATCACCAAAATAGGTTCTCCGAGGAAAATTCTGAGGTGAAAACACAAGAAAATCACAGTCCAATTGCTAATATTCTTGATCAGTGTTCATAATTTTAAGTAATTTCAATTAAGAAATAAATATAGATACAAATTATAATAATAAAGAAACAAAAACATTAAACACAAATAATAAATTGTTTCAAATGAAAATCAAGTGATCCCTATTTGTATACAGTAGAAGAGACAAATTACGGTGGCAAATTGTTTGTTAGTGATTATCGACTTTAAATAAGCCTAAATTGGGCAAGGCCACGAGCGACTGGCACTGTGTATTGATTCTTCATTCTTCACTTTTTTATAACACTACAAAATCTCGACTATTATCTATACATATAAATAAAATTAGAGTGCCTGTTTGTAATCTTGAAATAACCGTTCTTACTACATGCATACGAATATAAATACGATACATATATTATACCAATATAACATTTTTTACAATTTTCATCTGTCTGTCTGTTTGTTCCGGATAATCTCTGAAATGGCTGGACCGATTTTGACGGAACTTTTATTGGTAGGTAGCTGATGTAATAGGAGTAACTTTTATTTTAGAAAAAATCATTTGTTTTAGAGAAATAAAGTTAAATTTTATTGCGAATGATGTCGCGGATGCAATTAATGCTTAATAATTTCATTCTTCAGTTTTATATGATAACACTACCAAAACTCCTCTATTGTGTTTAATAACAGCAGTCTAGGGTATTTTCATTTCAAAGTTCGTGATTCAATACTGAGGAACAAGAGGTACCTCGGTGGTCTAGCAATTGAGCACACCACATCACTTCCGATGGTCGCGGGTTGGATTCCTTGCACGGCACAAACATTTCTATTCATGTGTATGATTGTTCGTATCGTTCTAGGTGCTTTCTATGTACATAACATAATACACAAGTTAGCACATTGCAATCGTGTCCTAATCCCGGTTTTAGAGGTGTTTGTTTGACACCACCGAATGTAGGGTTAAATTCCTTTAAACGAGGGTTGTTCACCCTATGCGTCTCGTTTTACGCAAATATTTTGTAACCCCATAACATTTCCTGGCTAAACGCCGGGTTAATTAAACTTGACATCCGACAATTAACTGTGTTAACACAAACTTGTGAACTAGAGGTAGCAATTTTGTACCTTATTGACGGCCTCGGTGGTCTACTGGTTTAGCACACCGTCTTACTTCCGATGGTCGCGGGTTCGATTTCTCTTACTAAACGATTACTATTACTAAATAAACTAAACCATTCCTATTACTAGATGATTACATACATAAATGACAAATGGGCATGGGAATAGTTGTTCATGCACTGGATTTAACGTTAGGTCTAGACACCTACATAGGTATAAAAAACACTCTTGTTTCTTGCCAGTTCTTCTCAATCCAATCTGTAAGTATGTATACTAACGACGGTAGAGAAAAACATATTAATACAAAAAACTAAACGTTCATAAGCGGCTAAACTGTCCTACATGTCAATGTGCTCCCTCTAATATGATTGAGTTCAATGATGGCTGGCTCATCCGTCATACTCGTGAACGGGTGCTTGTAGGTATTGACTTCTCTAATGCTGCTTGTGGGGACTGGTCTGTTCGGGTTACGAACACTGATTATACTATTTGCTTTTGCAATAGCATATGCTGGTGAACACTATTCTCCAAAATATGAATTTAAAAAAGAATCTGTATTATTGTAGACATGTACAACATTTATTTGAAATGAATACGAGCTGAGTTTCTTGTCAGTTCTTCTCATCTCAAAATCATTCCGAATTTATAGTATGTAGATTTAACATATCATAAGAGTCTGTAATAGACCTACATGAATAAAGATATTTTGAATTTGAATTTGGATTACATGAAATAATTTTTGAAGTAATTTGATTACCCCATATCTGATATCAGTCGTGAAAATATGATTGATTGATAATTAAAATAACTATAAACATACGTGATATTATGTTAGATAATCATAAACCATATATTACATGTTACGTCAAACATTTAACCATGATCATAAAAAATATATGACTAGTAAGATGGGATATCTTAATAATATGATAGGGCCGTTAAGTAACGCAAGACTCATCGCATACAAGGTCAGGGCTGTTTATCCCGCACCATTGAAGGTCAAGGGCGGGGCATGGATCGATACGGATGCTGCGCGAGACAAAGACGCCGCTCTACCATATTGAAACTGCGAGAAAAAGATAGACGATCCTCACAACACTAGTTGCCATCTTCTGCACACATTCCCAAGGTTCAAGGAATTGGAAAATACCTAATGTCATTGTTATAATTAATTGTCAATAAACTGGCTTTAAAAAAAAGTAATTCAATTGAGTTTCCAGCCAGTTCTTCTAAATTGGATGTATATACTGAATACCGTCCAGCGGTAGGAAAGGAATTAAAATCTTATATATAAAATTCTCGTGTCACAGTTTTCGTTCACATACTCCTCCGAAACGGCTTGACCGATTCTCATGAAATTTTGTGAGCGTAATTAGGTCTGTGAATCAGCCAATCTATTTTTCATCCCCCTAAATGTAAGGGGTAGTCTACCCCTAATTTTTTTTTTTATTTTAAGGCAAAACAGCATTTGTCGGGACAGCTAGTTATAATGTAAACAATTTGACGTTCATAAGCGGCTAAAATGTTCTACGTGATTTTTGAATTTGAATTTGAATTAAATAGTGAAGGAATGCCGTCACGACTTTTCGAGTTTGGAGTTAGGTTTCAATTAATTAACTCTACTGATGACCGCCCAGTGGTGTGGTCGAATCAACCCTAATTAATTTAAATTATACGTTTCTGCATTATAGGTTTTCAGTATTACAACTATTTAATTAAATCTAGTGGTCGCCCAGCGGTCGAAACTCGACCATAATTAATTAAAATTATAAGTTTGAACATTGTTAAGGTTCTATTGACAAAGACTATAGACATAATATTAAAGACAAACAAATCTATTTAACTAACTCTAACTTTTTATAGTGTGCCACCTACCTTTCCCTTACCCAATGCTTCTATCTCCCTGGTTGTCTGTAAGAGATTGCTTTAAGCGATAAGGCCGCTTTTTGTTTGCATATACTTCTTTTTTTATTTCCTATTTGTAATTATTTGTTTCTTTTATGCACAATAAAGAGTTTTATTATTATTATTATCTATTCTCAAGTTAACCACAGACTTAACAATAAATAAGAGATATGCGTGTGTATGTGTGTCAAATATGTGGTAGTGCTTAACAATAAATAAAGTCAAATGTATGGTAGTGTGTGTAATGCTTTTTTATTGATTGAATGTAATTTTATTGTATAACTAGCCGTACCCGCGACTTCGACCGTGTGTAATTTAACTTATTTATCTAAAATAAAAGTAGCCTAAAGTACTCCTTATTACATCAGCTACCTGGCAAAAAAGTCCTGTCAAAATCGGTCCAGCCATTTCAGAGATTAGCCGGAACAGGCAAACAGACAAAAATTGTAATAAATTTTATTTTGGTGTATGTACCGTATTTACATTCATATGCATGTAGTAAAAAACAGTTATTTCAATGTTACAGACAGACACTCTAATTTTATTTATATGTATAAATGAATACATTTAAAAAAAAAATAGCATTCTCCACTCCTCTATATAAACTAGTGTGCGAAATTTCATACGCCTCCGTTCGCGCAAATTTCATTAAAAGGGGTACAAAGTTTTTGCTTCAAGTATTAATATATATCATATTATTTACGAGTTTGTTCGTTCGTTTGGTTAAACGCGATATTCTTAGGAACTATTAATTCGAAATGTAAAGTTTCTTCAGGGATCGATAAAGTGTCACATTGAGTAATGAGGGGTTGGAGTATAGGGCACAAACAAGCTTGAGGCTCACCTAATGTTAGATTATTAAGTAGTAGGTAAGCATGA